TATTGTATCATATTACAGAGGGGAATGTATATACGGTGATAGAATTATAAATCGTGTTATGGATCTAGTAGTAACTTTAGTAATATCTATAAGGATTTTAACAGCGGTCTCAAACTGGGGTGACGTAGCCATGTTGTTGGCAATTTCTTTATTTTTAGTTGTGGAAGATAAAGTTGTTTGTCTTATTTGGAAAATATACCTGAAATAAATTCCGGTGGATTACTGTGTGCTATAAATAAAAGAGCGTAAATTCCTTTTTACCTGGTTACCTGCAGCTATAACAGCCCCTACCCCGGTATCTTCTTTAGTACATTCGTCTACGCTAATAACTGCTGGAGATTATTTGTGAATTCGATTTAGCCCAGCTTTAGAAGGACGTTTACCTCAGATAGTGGCATTATTTTTAGGTAGATTAACTATTTTTATAGCCGGGCTCGGTTCAAATTTTGAATACGATTAAAAAAATATTGCTTTGTCAACTTTCAGTTAAGTAGGAGTAACAATAGAGTTTCGTCATTAGGATATGCGATCTTGCCTTTTTCCATCTATTAGATCCTGCTTCATTCAAAGCCCTTTTATTCGTTTGTGCTGAACTGTTCTTCATTGTGTAAAAGATTATCAGGACATTCGTATAATAGCATATCGTTTACGACTGATAGGAATATGTATAAATTTACCAAATTTGGCTTTATGTGGAATTTCTTTTATTTTGCTGGTTTTTATTCTAGAGATATAATTTTACAATTTTTAAAGTTGCTTGTATATATAAAATATATATAGAAATATATATATATATATATATAAAATATATATAAAAAATATATAGAAATCAATATGATTTCTTTTCAATATGGCAATTGAATTGACGGTTTGTTTAACAGTGCGTTTAGTGTATTACAGCTTATCTAAGGATTATAATTTAGGTAATATCTATTCTATTAGAGATGAAGGCAAGATTATAACTAATGCTATAATCAGTTTGAGAGTAGGAGCTGTATTAGGAGGCGCTACACCAGCTTGATTAATTTTTAATTATCCCTACATAATTTGTGTAAGTCCTATTTTTCTAAATGTTAGCTTTATTCGTGAGAGTAACTGGAGGAGTGTTAGGCTATTTGTTAAATTTAAACGCCATTAATTATCGTTTGAATTATTTAAAATCTTATTAAATGGTCGTGTTCTGGTTCTATATGATGTGTACCTTTATCTACTAAAGGCATTAGTATTATGTTTCTAGGAAGAGGGGATACTTATCAGAGAGTAGGAGACATAGGATAAGATAAGAGTATAAACAATCATATATATATTTTTTATTCTCTGGGTTATTGTGTTAGTATTTATTGTAGCTTACCTATATAGCTTATATAGAAGAGCATTGCATTGAAGCTGCAAAGGAGATTGGCCTAATCTATTGGCATATTATAGTTATATTGCACTGTTTTTCAAAGGTTTGTTTACTTTTAGTTTCACAATGAAAATGTGTGTGATCACACTATGCACACTCAGTCTCGATGACTTTGTCTTGAGACAGGCTGCCTGGCTTGCTTTCTATTGCTATTCGGCAGGTGCTTTCTGCTTGCTCTCCTTCCATGGCAGTTTTAGCCCTTCGTCCATGGTGCGATAAGGCCGACGACCAAGCGGCAGGGAGGAAGGGACGTCAGGGGGAGAAAGGTGAGGGAGAGAGGAGGGGGTAGAAGTCACAGGCTAGAGTGAGGGTGGGAGGGGGGTTAAGATTTGATGAGGTATAAAGAAATAGATTGTTTCTTAAAATCTGTTTCTCTTCATTCTCCCTTCACCCCCTATTCTCCTCCAATCTATCCCCTTCCTTGTTTAATTACAATTTCCGCGTATAAACAGAGAGGAAAAGCTAATGACCCAACATTAAGAAGAGTGGAAGGAGAAAGGGAGAATGGAAGGAAGGATGAGGTCGAAGGAAGGGCCAAGAGGAAGGGAGAGGGGACAGAGAGGAAGAAAAGAACTCGTGGGAAGGAAAGAGATGGAGATATGTAAGGTAGATGGAAGGAGTGAAAAACCGTGTCAGCTGTTGTTGGAAATCGAACGACAGTTTTTTACTTCTAGATCTTGTCCACTTCACTCCAGTTATCAGAGTAGCTGAATGAAAGTGAAAGTGAAAGAGGGTGGGGGAAAGAAGGGAGGAGCATGATGAAAATAGGAGAAAGGGGAACAAAGAAGGGGAGAGCGCGATGAAAGAAAGAAGCGAGACCGAAGTAGGGAAGAAGAGGGGGGAAGCAGGTGGGAAGGAACGAGAGAGAAACAACAAAAAGAAAGGAAAGAGGAGTGAGGACAGTTTATTTTCCTCGTCTGTCCCGTTCAATTCACCTCCTCACCGTCTCTTTTGCCTCACTCCTTCTCCCTTTCACTTTCTTATGCATCTTCTAGCAGTTATTAGTGCCATCATTATCATACTTTCATTTTTATTGTTATCCTTATCATTATCAGTATTATTAATGGTATTAGTTTTATTACTGTTATTATCATCATTACCGTCAACTTTATCATTATTATTATGACTATTATCATCATCATCATTAATATCATCCTTTCATTGATATCATGATTCTTTCCTTTGATATTTTCGTCCTTGGCATTACTATTATCATTGTTGTGAATATTGTTATGATCATTGCCATATTCACAATAACAATTATAAAACATCAATAACAATAGTAATAATAATCATCATAATAAAAAAAATCAATCTTAATATTACAGTTATCATAATATCTAACAATAGTAATATTAATGATAATTAGAATAATAACAATTTTCAATATTACCATTATCATCATATTCCTTATTCTATTATCTTTTTAAACATAAATACGATAGTAATAATGTAGTTATCGCTATTGTTTTTGTTATACTATAGTTATTATTTTCCTCTTCTTATCATTGTAATCATTATTATCAATATTACCTTCATCGTCATATTTCTACCACCACTTGGACAATAAAGCCCCACCTCACATTTCCTACAATGAATAATTCTGTATTATGTAAGCCTTATTTCTGCTGCTGTTAGGTTTACATGTCTTTGAAAAGTTACAGCAGGTTTCAAAATATACGAAATAATACCGTGATTGCACACTAAGCTTGGTAGTTGTTAATTCGAAATAGTTTGGAAATGGCCGATGGCTACTCTCGCGGCCCAGCGGGAGGCTAGTGCCTTCAGGTCCCGTCAGGAGGAAAGCCTTGCGTGGAATACCATGTCCCTCCGTGTTATTGTTCAAGGAACTCTTGGTGGGTAGATTTGCTTTTAGTAATTTACATAGTTTCAATCTTTCTGTAACTAAAGTAAAACATGACATTAATCAATCAATCGCATTTTCATTCACATCAGTTCATGGTACTGCATTGCCATTTTCCTGAAAACATGGCATACTTCATTTGCAAGAACGAAGCACAAAAATCTAAATCCCTCAATTGAACAAATGGACCAAGAGGGAAATGAGCTCCTGAGTATAATTACCAAAGCACATTAATCAAGTTAATGGCAGTGTCTTGCCGTCACTCACGAAAAAAGGAGGAAGTGCATGCATTCAACACCTTATTACACATGATAACTGATGGACAAGTCTGCCGACATGAACGTAGGTCCGAACTGAAAGAGTTGATATCCATTGTGATGATCATTTGAGTTAATTATATTTGGCCTGTAATTAGCATTTCCTCAAAGTAATTTCAACGGCAGCAATGACTCCAGTAAATTTAAATGAACATAATAAAGAATCTGAATTTTCATACTTTACTATTAGCAACTACTATGACAATCAAAATGCAACTAATGAAGAGACTTGAAATACTGATGAAAAAATAAAGCAATAGTAACATTAATATTGGTAATAACTATAAACAGATGAGGGGAGCATGGCGAGAAAGGAGGAGGAGGAGGAGGAGGTAGAGGCAAGGAAGATGGAGATAAAAGGAAGGCGGAGGATAATGCGAGGAAAAGGGGGGAGGCGAGGGCGGAGGGTAAAAGGAAGCGACAGAGAGAGAAAAGAGAGAGATATACGTGAGATACGAATAAGGGGGCCAGAGGGAAAAGGTTCTAAACACAAGGATTCATGCAATATTAAATGCCGCCTCTCTTTCTTTCTTTCTTTCTGCCTATTGCACCTCAGAAAATTTATACCGGTTAAAGATATGATATTAAAACTATTTTTTTTCACGAAAAAAAATAACAGTGCAGCAGGTACTCGATATTCCTTCAGATTGCTTTCTTGAACTAAAGATCAATTGCACTATTTATAATGATGATGAGGAAATGGTGATGAAGATAATAGTAACAAATGATAGCAGCAATGGTAATAATGAGATGGGATCTCAGTGAAACCACGACTAAAAATATTACAACTATAATGATATCGAGAAAAGTAATACTACTGTTGATTATACATTATGTTGCTAAGATATAATGGCACTAATGAATGATCCTTTGGCCAGAGCTGCTCTCCTATTTTTCCATTGCTGATAAAAGCAACATGAAATAATTTATTAGAGATCGTGGAGCTCCTCTCCTATGACCCACATTTTCTCCCCCTCCCCCTTCCCCTTCCCTCTTCCCACTGTGCTTTAGTCGCCTCTTTTCCCTTCTACTTCTACGCGCATTATCCCTCTCCCACTCCTTTCTCTCGTCGTCCTACCTCCCTTTTCCTCGCCCTATCCTACCTCCGTCCTATCCCTATCTTACCCTATCACTTTCAATCATTATAACTTACATAATTGTCATCGAAATTATCCATTAATTACACGCAAATCAATCAGAAGCAAAAATATTGTTGTATAATGTATAATAAGAATAATCTTTATAATGTTAAAACCAATACATCAACAATGGTAGCGAAACCTACAATTTAAATCGAACATCAAAATGACAATCACGACCGGTGCTTAGAAATATAGATGAAATAAGAATATAAAGAGAAAAAAAATAAAGAAACCCGGACCAACTGCGTCCGTCGTCTCTGAAATTGCCTTACCGCGGTCGTCCTTCGCTCCCAGGTCCGCTCCCTTGGCGGCCAGGAGTTCAGCCACTGCGAAGTGACCATTGAAGGAAGCGAAGTGCAGGGGAGTCGCTCCTGTAAAAGGGAGAAACTTGGGTTAATTTTCCCATTTCCGGAAGACAAAATATTGCAAACAGAAAATGCATAACGATGAATGTGTCACAAATAGTAAAAGATAAATTTATGAAAAATGGAACATGTAGATTTAAAGACCAATGAAAAAAATATATTTTCACCCTTAATATCGTCAGTGGAGTTGAGGCCAAGAACACAGTTTTAAAGAATAAATAAGAAGAATTTAGGAATTTTTTGTGATATTCAAAATGTGTTTATTTTCATGCTAATTGAAATATTGAATACAAATGAGGAAAACATACATTCATACAAGATATATATACATACATATTATATATATATATATATATATATATATATATATATATATATATATATATATATATATATATATATATATATATATATATATATATATATATATATATATATATATATATATATATATATATATATATATATATATATATATATATATATATATACATATATACATTCATAAACACATAAATATATAAGTGCATATATGCATACACATGTACTTCTATATCTATGCATATATTTATATATACATATATATAAATGTATGTTTATATATGTATATATATATATATATATATATGTATATATATATATATATATTATATATATATATATATATATATATATATATATATATATATATATATATATATATATATATATATATATATATATATATATATATATATATATATATATATATGTATGAATTTATGAAAGTGACGGAGCGACGTTCAAAGTGTTCAGTCAACGGAGTTACTGTGATTTAAAAATGCAATGGTGCCAGTTGTACAAACTTATTCCGTAAATATTTGATAACTGTGACTTTCTTGTACAATCCTAGTGCCTGTCCTTTCATGTACCTTTATGAATTTATTTATTTGGCTCCTCTTTCAATATTGCAATTTGATAAATAGCATACGCGGCAATTCTTATGCTCACATCTGGCACAAGCACATCACATGCATGTCTACTTCATAAGTTTATTATTATTAACCTCATTCCGTTTCTTTGAAGGCAGAGAAAATGAACAGAAACATGGCACAGGCGGGAACCTGGAGCTCTGATCCAGAGACGTGCCCCCGCCCAGAGAGAGAGGAGGAGAGGAAAGAGATTAAACAAAGCAACTGCAACTAATACTATTCATCATACCAGTAGTAATAGTAGTAGTAATAATAATCACAACATACACAAAGGTCTACGCGTCAAAAAGTGTTCTCGCCCCAGTTACCCATAAATATGTTCATTAATGTTTTGTTCATTTAAACTTTGATCTACAACATAAGCATCAATATGTTAATGATAATGCACTACACTCATGAGTTTTGTGCATTGGTATGAGTTTACAATTGTTTTATTATAGATGAAAGTTTGAATTAACAAGACAGTTAAAAAACTTATTTCCGGGCAATTGGTCTGAGAACACCTTCGGACGGCACGCACTCAAATGATCATGATAACGATGATAAAAAATTGGTGATAATGGCAATTCCATAGGACGGGGGCAGGGAAATGAAAAAAAAAAAAAAAAAAAACAGGGTGATATTGCCAGAAGTTTAGGGAAATCTTGTTTTCAACCATGAACATCATCATTGCCATTTGCATCATCCTTATAATTCCTAGTAGTCATAAAATGATTCACATCATTATGTTTATTACCATGGACATCATTCAAATCTTTGCTTTCATCATTAGTCACACTATGATTAGCATCATATCCTCCTATTTTCTATTCTTTCTACTTAATGAAGATAAGAACAGGAATCATATCCATCATATTCGTAATAACTTTAAGAACTCTGATTATTATAATGATTAATGCTGTTCCCGAAATATTGGTAATTCTCCATATTCTCATGCTGATTGTAATTGCTTCTAAATATTTTCATTAATATCATAAGAACCTCATTAGCGACATGAAGATAATCCTTATTCATGTTAGTGTTCCCTTAATCACGACTGTGATTGTTATTGTCTTTTGCTGCTGCTTCTTTCTGTTCTTATTCTTATCTTTGCTTCATCATAGACATTTTCATCCTTAGCATTACACATCGACCTTATTATTGCTGTTGTTGATATTATCAGCGCCACTATTCTTCCTATTCATACTCCTTCTCTAATTCTTTGTCTCGCTTTTACAATTGTTTCATCATTATTATATCTCCTATTATTATCATGATAATAGTGATATTACTATTATTATTGTGATTGTGATTCCCACAACAAATATTTATAACAGTTATAATCATTTGTATATGCATATGTTTGTGTATAAGTGCATGTGAGAAGATTCACATATGAGAAGTATGTAAGATCATGTACATTATGCAGAATATAACAATAAATACAAAGGATAATATCATGCACATCTCAGTAATATGATACAGACCGCTGGGTTACAATTAGACAGACAGAGAAAGAAGGAGGGAGGGAGAGAAGATGAGAGGTGAAAGAGAGGAGAGAGAGAGAGAGAGAAAATGAAACAGCTAGAGATAGAGAGCTAAACAAACAAGGAGACGGGGAGAGGGAGAGATGGAGCGATCATTGCAAGATGAACAGCCTATGTGATTTTAAGTCCATGGTGAGAATATGTTAAGATTCGCAGAAATATCTGGACACTTTTTATTAGCTGATAAAAAACCAATACACACCGCCGCCACACACGGCTCATGATTGTAATGCTATTCACTATCACTACATTATCTATTCCCTGCCATCTCCACTCTCCGGGATGACAGACTCACTGCACAATATTTTTAAATTCGCGAATAAATAAAGTCACTCTGAAGATGAAGCCATTTTGATATATATTTTTCATTCTATTTCATACCGGTCAGATATCATGACATAAACTTATCTAACCTCCCAGAGTGCAAGGCTTTATTGTCAGGTCAAGGGCAAACAGTTCAAACAGGTTTAGTAAAAATTCTGTATTCAGATGAACGAAGTTTTGACCTTGCAAGTCTGTGCTACTGGTTGTGCAGTAAGTATCCTTTTGTATGCTTCTGTGTACACACTTGTGGTATTCAAATATCTTTTGGCGCTCCTGGAATTCTGGTCAGCGCCGAATGCGTTGAGCAACAAGTCCTTATGTGTCTAAGACTTAAACTAAGGTTCTCTTCTAGTTTTTACAACAGTGGATACTATAACAGATTCAGTTTTATGGCCATAGTAATTACTGGTAGTAGTGATTTACAAGAAACTAAATCAGTAGCCACAACGAACTAATAATGTAGTCCATAACAGGAATGACGATGCCAAACTCCAGCTCTGCCTGGCTGTCATGCATCTCTCGATCCCGCTCACTGACAAGGTTTAATTAGGCTGAAACTGTTGTGAGGCTTGGAAGGACCTCGTGAAACTGACTCCTTTCTGTAGCTCCCCGCGACTCTGCAACGCGCGCCCGTCTGGCACTGCTCGCCGCCCTCCGCCCACACCCTGCGGCGTGGAGGCGGAGGAGCTCGGCGTCACCAGCAGGCGCGTGAGGCTGCAGCCCCGCGGCGGCCATGAGGAGCAGCGATTCCTCGAGCCCAATGGCGCCGACATTCCTCAAGGCTGTGGAGTTTTTAAAGCCAGCAGAGTTCTTTGTCAGTTGGGAATCGGTGTCTGATCTACAGTACACAATGCTGGCCACCTTTCGTGTCGTGAAAATTGCTCTCAACGGCGTTTTTCAAGTGGAAATAGAAACTGTTATTGAAGTTCTTTTCCTTAAAAGATAACATTTGTACTAATCATATATGCTCCTCTCTTGTTTTCCCCTCATGAGCTAATGCCATAACCAAATCAACAAATATAATGAATAATGTGAATAATAAGGTTCAGTAAATCGTGCTTCGTTAATCTATGATATAAGTATCGATATCTTCATGTCGATGCACTATAAGCATAGGGTAGAATGCATTGATATGTTTATCGGTGCTTATATTACTGATGAGATTTAAACAAACAAAACATTTAATAATGTACTTCGGGGACGGACGGACGGCCAGGCACCCAAATAATGATCATGATAACAATAGCAAATATGAATAATGATGACAACAACAGCATAAAATAAAAAATATAATGATAATAACCAAGACAATTTAACCTTGAAGAATATGATAATAATTATAATACAATTACTCTAATTACAATCATCAATCAACAGCAGCATCAAAATAAATTAGAATAATGACATGAAAGAAGAATAAAAGTATGAAATGATAGTTTTAGAAATGAAAATAATAATACAATTAATGACAATGGTTATTATCATCCTTATTACCATTACTTCCGTCATAATCATTATTACTAGTGTTACCATGATCATTATTTTTGTTATTGCTATTTTCTTGCTTCCACCAATCACAATGGAGCTTGTGTTCAGACCTGACTGAACAGACTATCCCAATTGAACAAGGAAATCAGGGTCTCCCCGGGATTTCTAACTTCGGAGACTTGAGACACTGAGATTAGCCACCAAGGAGTTGGCATCATTTTCTGCCGGCCCACGTGAGCAGGAACCTTCGTGGATTCTTTTCTCTCTCCTCTACCTGGAAGTCGGCAGACGAGAGCTGGCGACAGATAGCGACCACAACCAGTGCTTTTTCTCACTCTTACAGTCTCTATAATCTGTCTCGCAATTTTCCTTCCACCTTGATCTTTGACCTTCCTATCTGGCTCGATTTCTATTGCTGTTTGGCATGTGCTTTGTGCTGAATCCCCTTTGTATGGCACTTTCATCCCTCGAGAACCCAGTGTCAGGGAGGAAGGGACGCGAGGGGAAGAAGGGAGAGAAAGGGGGAGGGGATTAGAGCGACCGGAAGGGGAAGGGAGAAGGATGAGGTATAGGTGAGAGGCTAGATGGAAGGGATGGAGAAGAGAGAGAAGGTTAGAGAAGGGGAAAGAGGAGGAAGGAAACAGTATGGATCTGTGCTTATCTTATACTCTGCATTTCTCGTTCTTCTTCAAAGTAA